CTCTCGAAGTTAGACCTTGAACCAGTGCTTCAGTTCACGGCCTCGATAAGGCGGCCACTTGGCATGTACTCCAAAGAGTTCAACTAGTTAAGGGCCTCTTTCTTTGTAGGTAGAGCAGTATTTTATTCGGATACCAGCCTCGGAACAATCTACGCAAAGTTTCCTAAAATGGCTCTTAAATGCAGATATATTAAAATCATAATTTAAAAACTGCATAATTTATTCAGCTGAAATGATATTAATTGTTACCGGTTTAATGGAATGGAGACTTCAGTGCGATTGTTTTATAGAGTAACTAGCTGACCCGGCGAACTTCGTACCGCCTTAGCGTAGAGATTTCTTAATATTTTTTTCCGTAAGAACCATCCTTGGACTTCCACAAACATTTAAAAAAAAGAATTATCGAAATCGGTTTAGCCGTTCACACGTGATGCCGTGACAACGCGAAACGGGTTTCATTTTTATATATATAGATAAGAATTTTCAATAACCCTAATAAAGCTCGTAAACACGGTAGAAGAGTCCTCAAAGAAGATTAATAACTGAACTGATAGTTTTTGCAGTTTTTAATAACGTTCTCTCAATAAATTAACTCGTAAAAAATTCAATTAATCTCTCAACGGAGCTCGTTCCGCTGCTTATAAAAATTCGAAATGATTTATCAGTTAAACTTAAATCTCTCGGGCAGACCTAACCCGCGGTGTGGGAATAAAATACGTAGGTATATGGTATGATCCTCTGAAACGAATATGGCGGCTCATTTAACTTTTGGCGGTTTGCGGATGAAACTCCGAAATTCTGCAAACAGCAAATAAACTGATGCGTGTAAAATTAAAGTATCTGTGTCATATTGTTTGTTCGGGAATGTGAAAACGTGGTTCGGGAAATAATATTGTATATGGAAAAGGACGGTAATAATTCTCTTTAGATTTACTTTTAAAACAGGCTGACAACGGGGTGGTCCTACGTATGTACGGATCCTCCTATATTTTCCTTTTAGGTGCAGAACCCAAAAATCCTCATTCTTCTTCCAAAATCTTTCACATCTTCAATTGTCTTACTTGCTGTATCTGTCTAAAGAGAATGATGATTGATGATGATAATACATGACCTTAGTGCAATAAAAAAGCCACGTAATTTAGGGTTTTAATAATGTGTCACCAACTGAACCTAACAAAAACTTCCATGACAAGGTTAAAGATTAAAGACATTCCATGTCGCCTATAGCCCGGCCATTTGGGGTTTTATTTGAATAGACGATAATGTCGATTGTTGTCTAGTTACAGAACTAGCCCAAAGTAAGCACGTTTTTACTAACGGGACAAGCGTACGTGACTTACCCTTTAGCAATTGGCTATCTAAGCAAAAAGATTCGCAAGTTTTCAACCTAATAGCATAGTTTAATAATGAGCCTTTTAGGGCTTGTATGACTATCAGAATATTGTAGAATGAACAGATATTAGAATTTAAATAGACAATAAAACAACAGTAATCCGCAATAATCATTATTTTTTAATTAACATGAAAAATGTTGACATTTCGTTCAATAATAACGCAATACATTGTTTCAAGAGATTTGATAATGTCATGTGAAAGCAAAAGCTTCGATTTCGTCGCGAAAATGGTATTCAGCAGCACTATATGAATAAAGTATATAAATTGATGTTATTACATAAACAAAATAAAGCATCATGACTTAGTATTGTGAAAATTTTCGGCAGTATTACCACAAGTGAATGTGTAAATAAATAAATCAAAAAGAAAGTACACTAACCAAAAAATGTTTGAGCCTCTACATTATTTTTATGGTAAAAAATATATGGTTTTTAACTTTTTCTCATATTACTGAGAATGTTACAATAACAGAGGTCCTACGCGGCAAGACGATTTCTGAACTTCCGAGTCTGCCTATCTCTTTCACTCTAATTGAATTGCCAAACTGAGCAAGACAGTTATACCCAAAAAAGAAATTGTTCTGCAGAGTAGGGCCACTGATGTAGTATTATAACCGAAATATATTATCATTTAACAAAATTATCTTCTTACAATCTTATAGAAAGCTGCCGAGCTGAATATTAATATTTATAATTATTATACAATTCCAAAAAAAACAAAAAATATGGAAGTTACATTTTATAAACAAAAAAGGGAATTTGGTTTTAAACCCAGTTCCTATAAATATAATGCATTTACATTATTTGATTTTAGCCTATCAGTCGTCCAAAATCAAACAAAAAGAATGAGATAAATTTATTACTTTACTTCCTTTTAAGGGTGATGAAATAAAGTTATGAATCTAACGATCGACTGTTCAGTCAAATTATTGAATTATTATAATGTTCAATACCAATGTTACTACATCAAGAACAGTAAAAACACCCTGCAGAAGGAAATAAAATAATAAGGTAAAAATATACATGTGATTTTAGCACTTTCCGCGGCAGTAATCAAGGCACTATAGAAGTTTTATTTATGACTGCTATAGTCCTTCACTATCGCGGAAAGAAAGAAGGCTACAAAACCTAGGTTCAAGGCGTTATCCTATTACAGCCATGACGTCACTAGACGATAATACTTTACATATAGGGACATTTATACATATTTATAGTGTTGCATTTACAATAGATCATTATGACAAATTAGATTATTTATACACAAACAATAAATTACGGCGAAAAGTAACATAACTACAACCAATTCATACATCCTTGAGTATTTACCAATGAGTTGAAAGTTTAGAGCAATTTTCAAAATTATTATAACATTTTTTTTAAATATTGATTCATAATTTTCGATTTATAAATAAATAGATTTTACATAATTGAAAGTATCTGACCAAAACTAATAATATTATGATTTTTATACTTAATTTACTGTGGCATGTTAGCGTAGGTATACAAAAATACCAAAATTACATTTCGTGGAAGATATAATGTGAAGTACAGACGACAGCAAATCAGACTACACATTTATTTATTTAAAATCTTTATTGCACGCAACACAAAAATACGAGGTACAAAAGGCGAGCTTATTATTATTGTTAAGTCCAACCTTTTTTTTTTTCATTTTAGGTGGTAAAATTACAATCCGTACAAACCAATTGCGCACCTCGCTGGAATGGGACTCTCCCTCCCACTTAGGCCCAGAACAGACGGTGAAACGCAACTGCAACGAAACTGCAACTTTGTGATGATTCTGATGAATGAAACTGAAACTGAAAGTTTCAAACTGGTCGTGTCATGTGTGGTCTCTCAACGGACGCTATGGCAGAAACTTAGATGCAACTCAAAAGTAACTAGCAGTTGCAGTTTCGTTGCAGTTGCGTTTCACCGTCTGTTCTGGGCCTTATACCCTGTCTGCGTTGAGGTTCGAAGTGACGTCACGGCTGCCAGGTGCACATTTAACTCGCCCGGGTTGTACAACTATGTAAGATTTTAGTTGAAGACGTATTTAACTTGATATGCTATCGTCTGTACATTTATAACTAGTAATTTCGAAATATATACAGGCCATTAGGTTTTAGTTACATGACACAATTTACAAATAAATCGAGGTACCCTCAAAAGCTATTTTATGACGTCATTATAACTAAACCTTTTTGAATGCAGTCACGGAATACAAACGAAAAATATTTTGTCGAAAAATTTGTTACCAGAAGTTATAATTATTAAACAAAACCCATTTTTATCCGCGACGTAGCGAGAGCGAAATAGAAATAAAGATGCATATAAAATTTGAATTACCCATTAGCCAACAACTTCCTACATTATGCTACCGTAGTTTGACTACATTGCTAGTTTCACAAAAATATAATTTTTGCGAGGGAATCTAGCACCTCTGTCGTTGGAAATAACCTATGTGCACTCTTTGGATATACCCAAACAGAAAATTCAATAAACTACAAACGACAGCACATCAACATAAACACTGTGGGTGGGGTCGTATTTAATTAGGGTTTTCGCGTATGAATGATCCGCTAGATGGCGGGACGTGGATGTGGGGTCTGACTGCTGCGTGATTGGTGGATTTTGACAAATCTGTCAATGTCATGTCAAAAATACGCGAAAACCCTCATTGCAATAGAAGCTATTTTGCAACGAAAATGTAGTCTAATGTGCTGTTGTCTGTACAATAAAGTTAATGACATAATTATAATAATAAGGAATTTGTAACGCAATCTTCAGTCTCAAATTCTATTTCGAGATTTCATACTGAAGAGAAAGTTCGTTAAAGACAAATGAAGATCACAACGGACTAAAAAACAACAACAATGAAATTATGAATTGAAAATAATGATTAATTGAGAATTGAGGTCAATGATAAATTAAAATAAATTACTCCGACAGTTCCACGACATAACAATATATTGCGAACTTAGCTATTTACATTACTTAGCGGTCCATGGTGGTGGTGTTGCCAGGTGTATAATATAACTGGACATTACGGACTAATATTATCATGTCTCAATAAACTAATGACTAAGAAACACATAACTTAAAGGACATGTCCTGGTACGACATGATTTATTCAACCAAAGTGACGAAGGTATGGAAACATTATAAGCGTCCTTTAAACAACTAAACATCTGACTGATAATGCTCAAGTTGTACTTTGATTTATAAAAGCATGAATTTTAACGTATTCGCAAACATAACAATGAGGTCTCACAGTGCGCGTTGACGCACAGGGTCGCAAAAATATATTCATTGACAATACTTGAGTGGCGAAGTGACACACACGAACCAATCACTTAGCTCTATTCAACGCTGTGCGTTCGACTACGCATAGCGTTGCTGCTTCACTTTTGTAAATACGGGCGGTTAGTGCAAAATAAAGAACTTCAAGATATACGTCCGTATTCACAAACGATGCTTGCTTAAGTGAAACAGAAAATCGAACGCACAGCGTTGAATAGAGCTCTGTGATTGGTTCGTGTGTCACCCTATGCGTCCACGCGCACTGTGAGACCTCATAGTAATGTTTGTGAATACGGTACACGACACGAATAAAAAGTATTAATTTCAATATAACATTTCAAAACAAAATAAACGTAAACTAATCACAATGTTTACCTGTCACTTAACAAATATTCGCACTGGCAACACTACCGCCTGGCAACACTACCGCCTGGCAACACTTCGCCGAGTCACTTCCGCCGCAGCCGACAGCGCCGGCGGGCCCGCGTTATTATGGGAACTCGTTGAACTGCGCTAAGGCGGTTTTTACCCTGAAACAAACAGCATTTTTAGTATGACTCAACAATCATAATATAGTCTCACGATTTTGAAACGTCAAGTGGCAAAAATCAATAACTAAAACCCAGTATTGATAGAAGCGCCCTCCTGACAATGTCATAGCTGGGACGATTCAGTGTTCAATATCAGCATACTGGTAGGAACCTCTTGTCCCGTGGCAGCATATTGTTGACTGAGCGACATACCGCTCACACACGGCATTTTGCTCCCCGGGCAACATTTTGCAAACCAACCGGTGTTACCCGTGTCAAGCGGCGTTTTATAAGGAGCATTTCTCTCACTAGGCGGCATTTCACTCACCAGGTGATGTTCCACTGACTATGCGGCTTTTCACTCACCAAGCGGCATTTTGTTCACCAGGCGGCATTTTGCTCACCGCACGCATTTCCCTCACCAAGCCTCCCTACTCACTTGTCGTGCAGATGCGCGCCCGCCTCGCCGCGCCTCACCAGGTTGCCGGCCATATAACGCTGCCAAGCGGCATTCACTAAGCGGCATTTCACTCACCGGGTGACGTTCCGTTATCTAAGCTACTTTTCAGTAACCAAGCGGCATTTTGCTCACTGAGCGGCATTTTGCTCACCATGCGGCATTTTGCTCATCATGCGGCATTTTGCTCACCACGCGGCATTTTGCTCATCATGCGACATTTTGCTCACCACGCGGCATTTTGCTCTTCAGGCGGCATTTTGCTCACTCGGCGGCATTTTGCTCACCACACACATTTCTCTCAGCAGCCACTCACTTGTCGTGCAGGTGCGCGGCGTCCTGGCGCGCGCGCAGCAGCTTGAGCGCGCGCAGCACGCCGAGGAGAATAGCGCTGACAAGCGGCATTTCACTCACTAAAGCCTTGATCACACGTACCGAGTAATCGGGCGAGACAATAAAATGTTTATCTACTCGGTCGAGACAGTTGGGTGAGCGAGTCACATATTCGAGCGCTCGAGCACTCGGCGCTATGTCCATACACACCGAGTACTCGGCCGATAGCACTGTCTCGCCCGTTTGCTCGGTGCGTGTGATCAAGGCATAAGCGGCATTTCACTCACCGGGTGACGTTCCGCTAACTGCGCTGCTCGGAGTCAAGCGGAGTCAAGTGCGCGGCAGAGTGCAACCTGCTACGGCAGATGCAATGAGGGCTATCGTTTTTATACTTAACAGTTGGCACCCCTGGCGATTGACAGGACCTTACTCTACAGTGGCGCCATCTTGATGAGTGCAAATGCGATAGTCCTCCTACCACTTTCGCGCTCACCAGACCAGTTGGTGCCACTGTCTTCGCTACTAGCAAGTGACAGGACCTTACTCTACAGTGGCGCTAACTGGTGAGCGCTAAAACGATAGCCCTCATTCCGCGCGCATCTCCCGCGATTCGGCCAGTTATAACCGCAAGCACAGAATAATAATAAGTACTACGTACAGAAGTTTTACTTAGCGAAGGTATTTAAAAAAATGTATGCTCAATGTCATTAGCAATATGGTGTAATTTAGCCTGTCTCAAGAGTCAAGCACCATTTTGTTGACAAACGTCAGTGATCGGCACTGCGCCGAAGCTATAGGGCTGACTTCGGTAAAATGATATGACGTGAGGTGCCAAACTGCGGAAAATGNTCTCATTGGGTGACGTACTGGTAACTGAGCTGCTTTTCAGTCACTACACGGCATTTTCTTCACCAAATGGCATTTTGCTAACAAAGCGGCATTTTGCTCACTCGGCGGCATTTTGCTCACCAAGCGGCATTTTGCTCACTCGGCGGTATTTTGCTCACCACGCGGCATTTTGCTCACCAAGCGGCATTTTGCTCAGGCGGCATTTTGTTCAACAGGCGGCATTTTGCTCACCACGCGGCATTTTGCTCACCACACAGCATTTCTCTCAGCAACCACTCACTTGTCGTGCAGGTGCGCGGCGTCCTGGCGTGCCCGCAGCAGCTTGAGCGCGCGCAGCACGCCGAGGTCGGCCAGGCGCGCCTGCCGCATAGCGCTGCCGAGCGGCATTACTCTCACCAGGCGGCATGTTGCTCCCCACACACATTTCTCTCAGCAGCCACTCACTTGTCGTGCAGGTGCGCGGCGTCCTGGCGCACGCGCAGCAGCTTGAGCGCGCGCAGCACGCCGAGGAGAATAGCGCTGACAAGCGGCATTTCACCCACTAAAGCCTTGATCACACGTACCGAGTAATCGGGCGAGACAGTAAATTGTTTACCTACTGGGTCGAGACAGTAGGGTGAGCGAGTCACATACTCGAGCGCTCGAACACTCGGCGTAATGTCCATACACACCGAGTACTCGGCCGAGAGCACTGTCTCGCCCGTTTGCTCGGTACGTGTGATCAAGGCATAAGCGGCATTTCACTCACCGGGTGACGTTCCGCTAACTGCGCTGCTCGGAGTCAAGCGGAGTCAAGCGTTGTGCGCGGCAGAGTGCAACCTGCTACGGCAGACGCAGTTCCGCGCGCATCTCCCGCGATTCATCATCATCATCATCAACAGCCCTTTACAGTCCACTGCTGGACTATGAGCCTTGTACGAGCACGATCGTACATCCTGCTGCACCGTCAGCATTGACCGCCGNACTCATTGGGTGACGTACTGGTAACTGAGCTGCTTTTCAGTTACTACGCGGAATTTTTCTCACCAAATGGCATTTTGCTAACAAAGCGGCATTTTGCTCACTTGGCGGCATTTCTCTCACCAAGCGGCATTTTGCTCACCAGGCGGCATTTTGCTCACCGAGCGGCATTTTGCTCACCACACGCCATTTCTCTCAGTACGCGGCATTTCTCTCAGCAGCCACTCACTTGTCGTGCAGGTGCGCGGCGTCCTGGCGTGCCCGCAGCAGCTTGAGCGCGCGCAGCACGCCGAGGTCGGCCAGACGCGCCTGCCGCGCCGCCGCGCCCGCCTCGCCGCGCCACACCAGGTTGCCGGCCACGAATAACGCTGCCTCTTGGAGTTTGCTCTCGGGGTGCGCCTGAGTGGTGAATAAGAAAAAAAAAAATCTTTGGACAATTTCACACAGCGCCAGCTAGCCCCAAAGTAAGCAACTTAATGCTTGTGTTATGGGTGCTAGCTTAACGGATATACTACTTATATACTTTTTTTTTTAAATACATACATATTATACATAATAACACTCAGACCCGCCACAGAAATTAAAATTCATCATTTCAATTTCTGCCCGGCCGGGAATCGAACCCGGGACCTCTCGGCATAGTAGTCCGTTCTGAACCACTACACCAAACGGCCGACTGTTATAGTGTTGCCGATCGATAGTCGACTATCGTTAGTCTATCGATAGTCAAACTATCGCAAAACTATCGATTGGCCTATCGATAGTATCGATACTGTCGATACTATCGATACTATCGATAGCTCAAAACGAGGCAATACTATTGAATATGTGCAATACTATCGATTTAATATTGTAAACGATACTATTGTAAATTGCCAAACTATCGATAGTCTAGAACAATCGATAGTGTCGATACTATCGATAGTTTATTCTTCACTAGCAACAATACTATCGATAGTATCGATAGTATTGCACATATTCAATAGTATTGCCTCGTTTTGAGCTATCGATGGAGAAGGCTTTTTCGAATGAAAACTATCGATAGTTTTACTATAGATAGTTCGGCAACACTACTGTGTTAAAAATCTTGAAGATAATTTTGTAGTTATTTTTTTTAAGTCGGAAATATGTCAGGATATTTGAAATTATGTTAATACTAGCTTTTGCCCGCGGCTTCACCCGCGTGAAATTTAGTTCGTCACAGATCGTCGTAAATTATAGCCTATATGTAATTCTGGGTTATAAAGAATAATACTGTAAAGTTTCATCAAAATCCGTTTAGTAGTTTTTGTGTGAAAGAGTAACTTTCGCATTTATAATATTAGTAGGAAAATAAGAAATCAAATGCCTTGTCTCATACGAGTATGTAACATTTGCGTGGTCCCATCGCGTATCAAACTGGCTACAGCTTTGAGTCAAACACAACATCCCTTAAAAAACCGACTCGACTTTGGTTATATCGTATCGTATCAGCGAGGTTACTCCGAAAAACGTTATCCGAAGTTTTGAATGTTTCCATCTCTCTCACGCAAAACGAGATGCCAACATGAGCGACGGTGACAGAAAAGACCCGAAACTACGTAAACAGCGTTTCGGAGTAAAATAAATTAAATTCATAAAATTCATTTATTTTTGCATATAGGCTTTTAAAAAGCACTTTTAACACGTCCCAATATTAACCCTACCACTGATGTAGCCCTGCAGTCCCTGCAGATGCGAATGCGATACGGATACGGTGATCAAATGATCATATCAAGACTCGGCTTTATTCTATCAGAGTTGCTGTCATTCTTCTATAGTCTGGTCCGGGAGCACGTAGAATTTTGTCCAATGACATAGCAACATAATTACGCGCGAGCGATAAGGATGGGTAGCTTGGGGTCATTGGACAAAATTCTACGTGCTCCCGGACCAGACTATACGCAATCTCATCCCCCAACTCACCAAGTAATCGACGAGCTTCCTCAGCACATCCTCGTTGGCCATGATGAGGTCCTTGGCCTTCTCGCCGTCGCCGATGTTGCCCAGGATACACAGCGCCTGTTCCTTCACCTCCGCCGGGTACGAGCCCTCCAGGACTACTATCACAGCCTGGGGATAAAACAAGGCTTTTAAATGGCTTTTCATAACTCTAGAGGAGTGTTTGGTACTGGTTAAACTGCGAAAGCACGAATAGGGATGTTTCCTGGGTAAAAAACCAAGAGTTTGAATTAGTCCGTCGGTTAACTTATCAAAAAACTTCTAAACTAAGGAAAATTTTATTGAGAGGTAACGCGCGCCAAAGTTCAAAAGAAGAGGCCTGTGACATCAAGGCGTGTAGCACTTTGTGACGTCACGCGGAACTGCAAACGTATCATAACTTCGTAATTATTTGTTTGATTGACAAATAAAAATGTTACGTGTCCAATATTTTTTTATAAATTTTTGACAAATTAGTTTTTTTATTAAACTAGCCTATTATAGCCAAAGGCATACAACTATCAGTATCACGACAAAGAGTCGAATTGTGTTTAGTTGTCGGGGGTTAAGTTATCAGGAGTCGAGTTGTAGAGTTGGGTTGTCAAGAGGTCGAGTTGTTAAAAAATCGGCAATCAGCAGTGATATTTTTTAATGCATTCACTCAATTTGTACTTCTTCTTCTATTCTTTTCGTGTACTTATTATCACATACCTGCATAACCTGCGAGCAGTATTCGCTCATGATGGCATCTATATGCTGCCGCGTGGAGAGAAGGTTTCTTAGCAACCCTAAAGTTTTCATAATTACGCGCGTGTCGCTATCGCCTAGTAATCGGAACATTTGTTCTGTGCCTAAGCAGCACAGGATTCGCTGTTTCACTTTTTGTTCCGCCTGGAACAGAAATAGATAATATTAAAACCGTTCCCAAATATTTAGGTTGGGTTCTACTCGTGATGGTGAACACCTTTTAGAATGGGATCGATGGTGACAAAGAGAAAAAAGTCAGCTGTAGCGTATGTTAAAATAACACCAACACTACGCCAAAATTTAACAAATATTAGGTAAAAAAAACTCAGTAAAACTCATTTATTTCTGTAAGTAGGCTTTAAAAAAGCACTTTACACGTCCCAGTATTAACCCTACCACTGCTTCAGGACAATAAATGGGCCAGTGCTGAGAAGAAGCAGCGCAAGAAACTCAGACACTATTGTCAGCCTCTTTTTCAAAGGTTAACAGCAGTATATAATGTTGTTAATACAACAGTTTGTGGTAGGGAATAGGTAATGGCTATTTTATAGTGAACTTTCCAAATGAATTTGTAATCAAAATTACCTGAAAAGCCATATTCATTAGTGCCCAGATTCCGTTTAGCCTCAAAGCCGCTTCTGGCCTTTTCGTTAAATTACACAGCATTTCTACAGCACCTGTAAAACGGTTAATACTTATCAATAGATGTAGTCATTTCGTTAAATTTTACAAAATACTAGCAGTCAGAAGACTTTATTTGCGTGATAATACACAAAAACATAATGTATGGACAAACATACAACAAAGACGGAACAAATGAAAAGGAAAACGCCAATCACTGATATCATGAACCTTATGAATTGACATTCCCATTGACCCTCAATTTTGTTCTAATAGAACCCAGGTAGGTACTATCGCTATTATACCACTTAGAGTCAGTTAAGCTGTGATATTGTGTATTCCAAAATGTATCTTATCGTTTATCTGATAGGGATCAATTTAGCTTGAAAGGGACCACGATATAACTAACCATAGACAACAATTTACCATAAAAGCAACTTAGCTTGAGCTAAAGGACCACACTACATCTAACCATAGACAAAATTAAACCAAGCCCTTCAAAATGAAATGCCAAGTGAGAACGCACAAAGACATTAGTGTATCAAACCTTGATCTAACATTGGCTCTTTGGCGGGCGAGAACTCCAGCAAGAGGTTGCACAGTGTCGACGAGCCCACGGTCAACAGTTCTGTGCCGGGAGAGTCACTTAGCAGCTGCATCAGCGGCCTCCACACGGCATGATCCTGGGGACAATCCATTATGAAGTTAGATGCTATTATTATAAGTGCGAAGGTGGAATTAAACCTTCGCACTTATAATAATGAAGTATGTCGGGGGAGCTACCTGAAATGTTGTCCGTAGCTGTTGCACTGATCTTGAAAGTGAATGCAGGCACCTCACAGCGGCTAGTCTCACCTGTGGTACAAAGAATTTTATGCATTAAATTTTCTATACAGAGTAGAATTTAGTAATGCCACCTGGAGGGAAAGTACTGTTAATACTGCAGATAGAAAATTTTACTGAAAGAAAACATTCCTTTATTTTTGAAAAGAAAGAGAACTGCATTCATAGATTTTCATGGATTTTCGAAAATTCACTACATATAGCCTGACCAGGAACATAAAAACCGTGGCACAGACGCGCTTCAATTGCATTTGATAGTGCAACACTGAGTACAGTCGTACATGTGTTAAATTAATAGGCTAAATTTATGTATCAGGATTCAGGATTACGGGCTAATTTGATATTTTCATAAATTAACGAAAAATATTATTAAAGATAACCTGGTTTAAATAAATTAAATGAAACCATCAATCGAGCTAGTAGGATTTATTTTATTATTCATCAATAATCAAATTCAGAACATGAATATTCAACTGCAATGTCTGCTCATGAACGCTTCAAACTCGGTACTTCTTTCCCAATTCCATAAAATTCAAAACTTAGAAAGTGACAAAAAACTTTAAAATAGGTAGTTGAAACAGACTACAGCTAATTTTCATAGTGGACTGTACCATACGATAAACATGTCAGTCAATTTGACAACCTTTGTCGGAAACATTATTCAATGAAAATATTGTCCGAACCCTTAGTATTTCTCTTCGACAAATACATTAACACATCGTGAACCACTTTTCTTTCACGACTATAAAAATATTTTAGCAATTTAATTCACGAAATCAATTGCACACATTTAAAATAAAGTTTGTTTACACTTTGACAACAATAGACTGACATGCATGGTGACATGTCAATGAAGTTTTCAGTTACTGTTGCCATTAAAAGAAATTAGTACCATTAGTTTTCCGCAATATGGCGAGGGTTTTTATGTTCCTGGTCAGGCTATACCATACAATTTTCTGTACATAATTAAAATAATTTAAGATTTTATAGATTTCCTTTCATTTGATTTATTAAGTTTCTTAGAGAGATTTTATCCTTATACTTGACCCTAACGATTGATGCAATAAAAATACAGGGTGTAATTTTTAACAGATTTTAGTTGGTTCGATTCCCGGGTGTGGCAATTTTTTTTTTAATCTTTGAATGCAGTTCTATTTCTTTTCAAAAATAAAGGAATGTTTTCTTTGAGAATTTTTTTCTATCTATAATATTAAAAGTACTTTCCCTTCAGGTGGCATTACAAAATTCCACCCTGTATATTTCACACTTCAAGTTACTCCGTCTTTTTTTATTATGTCCCACGTGTTGCCATCATAGTTTGAAACCGGTAACGGCGAACGACGCCGTGCGGTGTAAATTTTAAATTGAAGCATTTTAAATTGATCCAGCCAGGAAAGGACGGGGACATTATCATTCTTCCTCAAAATACTATTATTATAGATTGTTTCATCCACGCGCCCCACCATTCTTCCGCTAATAATTAAGTGTTATCGGTACACGCTAAATTATATTATCTATGAGTGCACACGCACACTACAATAATGACGCTCGAATTGCTCGGATCATACTTCCCGCACTCCGCGCTTCCCTCGGCCAAAAAATTGGTGGGGCGCGTCTTCGTGGATGAAACGATCTATAATTAGAAAGAAAGAAACATTTATTGCCATGGACATCACAAAAGACAAAAGAGGTGAAATAAAAAAAAAGCAAATAAGACAGAGGTGACATAAAACATACAATGAATGAGCAAGTTTAGTAAACTAAGCAGTGTCACCCTGTCGCACAGCGATGCCCATCGCAATGGGACCTATCATATCATTACTTCTCATTCGCTGTTACAAACCATAAAAAAAACTCACAGCCGGTTCAGGATTGTTCATCCCATTGACAATGTGCACCATGAGGCCGTGCGTCTCAATGATCCTCTTCCTGATGTCCTCATCGTTGGCGCCGAGCGACGCGAAGCACTTGAAGGCGCCCTGCTTCGCGGCAGGGCTTGCGCAATTCACGATGTCCGCTAGCGAGCTCATCAGGTGGTTGGATATCGCTGCTAATCGCTGGAGAGAAGTGTCAACCTGCCGGGATAAATAGACGGTGTCAAATCTATACTAATATTATAAATGCGAAAGTAACTCTGTCTGTCTATCTGTCTGTCTCGCTTTCACGCCTAAACCACTGAACCGATTTTGATGAAATTTGGCATAGAGATAGTTTGAGTCTAATTTTTATCCCGGTTTTTTAAAGTTTTTCTGTGACAGACAAAATTCCACGCGGGCGAAGCCGCGGGCGGAAAGCTAGTATACCATAATATTGATTTGAACTTTCATGGTCACTAACATAATTATTATTACTGACGGGAACTCAAAATTAAGGCACATGGTAGCAATCCCGTCAGTGCCAATAATTATATTTGACACCATTCCCCGCTAATTCGAAATCACAACTTTTCTAAAAAGACACTTCATTCTGGTCTTAAAAACTTTATTTATTTTAAATTAAGTTTTTGGTCGCATTGTAATTAAAAAAAAGGAGTTTATTGGATGGCGATTCGAATACGCAAACGATTCGAACTCGAAAGTTTTTCGTGGTAGATACAGGTGTTTTTTCATGTACAGTCACGGAATGAAAAGGTTCGTCAGTTTTCAAATTGATTCCTTCAACGAATCGCGAGCACATATTACCTTTTGAAACTGTTACAGAATAATCTCGAGTTAGAGAAAATAATCTTTAAATGTTCGTCAGTAAAGTTCAAAATTATTCAGATCAAAGTTGTTTGACGATTTATCTTGTCAAGAAGATTATTATGATTGATAAACTAAAACCCTCTTGTTGGTTCAAACTGCCATTATTATTTCTTTTAAATAAAAAAAACTATTGTCAATTGGTCAATGTCATCATTGCATTGCACTGATGGGATAGAAAAATAAACAAGCAAAACCTTATTCGTTAGCAAACGTCATATTTATTTAAATGTTAGCAGCACTGTTTCTTGCACTGTTATGTTGGCAGGTTTGACTCTCACAGTACCTATAGTGCAAGCGAAAACCGACACTAAGGTGACGAACCTTTTCATTCCGCGACTGTACATATTCTAGCTAGACTAAAGCCTGGTCCGTGAGCACGAGCTTGGAGTCATTGGACAAAATTCTACGTGCTCACGGACCAGGCTTTAGACGTAATGCTAGGCATGGAAAAACATGTAGCGAGCCGCGGGTAATAGCTATACTTAAAAATATCATTAGTGCACAATAAATTTCAAAGTGATATTGTTCCACAATTATTTCATTGCCATTTCCTTACAATTACTTGTACGAAGTTTTTATTTTTTTTCATACTTCCTTGTACAGTAAATAAAAATAATTACGTAAAAATCTAATATTTTGTTGTGTAAGGGTGTAATGGTTTTTATGAATTAAATCATAACATTTGTAACTAAGACACTTGTACTTGTATTCACCAGAAAGTTACAAATCAGTCATCAGTTCATCACCAATTATTTTTGTAAATAAAAAACTTAAAGTTTTAGATCATACCTCAGCCAAGTATGCTAATGTTTCCGCGGCCGATGCCCTGATGTCTTCCGGTATTTCTTTTGTACAGAGTCGTGCTAGACATGGTAAGGCCCCGAATACCACTCTGTAACAAATATTTAAATTACTTTTTGACGTTCTACATTTAGGCCTTTTAAACACTGCAAAGTTTTGCAACGATATAAACTTGTAAAAATATTAGACAGCCACGCAAGTGCAATCATTGTATCGCTGCGTTTAGTGGAGATTTACGACTGACTTGATCTTGTTGATACTGAGACTGAATTACGTTTTATCTTTGTAAAAAGTAGCTGTTTATAAAAGGCCTTAAGTATAAGTAGGGTCAAGGAGGCAACAGTGACTCGGTCGGCTACAGTGGCTCAGTCATGTTTCGACCTGAAGGTATAGGAATATATATTTGTCTCTTTTACCGATTCAAAGGTCTTTGTACCCGAACACGTTTAAACCAGTTTGCTCGCCGGTCAAGTGCCGTGCGGAAGGGTGAGGGAATGTTTTTTGTTTTCGCGCCCTCTAAATTACATTCTNGGATAATACCAATCGTAATAAATTAGGTATTTGTTTTATACACTTTTTTGTTTCATTGCGTCAAGCAATAAATGTACCTAGGTAGGTACTTTAAAATCTTATAAGTGTAACATTTCTTACTACAAACATCAGGATCATTCGACACCAAAAGTTCCTACAAGTCATTGAAAGCCATCTTAATTAACTAAGACAGAAATGTACACCAATTTCCCGGTATCAATTCAGCATCTTCTTTGAAACACATTAAAGTTTTCGCGAGGTGTTGCAGCTAGAAGTTTACACCTAGTTCCAAATTTCGCGATATCAATTTAAGTATCACAAATAAGACTGAGCCACGAGTAAACTTGATACGCGTCGAGTCTCTAAGTCTGCGTCAAAGTGCTGAAATGTATTAGTTACCGGCAAAAGTTCTTGCACCACTAAGTTCACTGTAGTGCTTTATACCACACATTTGCAGCTCCGGCGAGAGGTTTAATTAACTTATATCGCGCCACTTACTAATTGTAAGAGAGAAAAGTCTTAGAAAATAAGATTCAAGCTTTCTTTTAAACTCAATGTTTTACTCGTAGTTTAGTTTTAATATTGAAGGAAAATCGTTGATGAGAAAACTTACAAACCTAAAATTCTGAGTACGATGCTTGCAGATATCTTAAAATAAATGTTACGTAGCTACTTAAGGACTGTTTATATGCGGGATTGTAAACACAATTATTATACAATTTATGCGACATTCCTAAAAACGTTTACCACGTCTGTTTATACAGTTACAGCCTCTAACTGAATGCAATTCCAGGAAAATAATAATACTAAATTTCAATATTTGGAGAGTTTGTTACCGCTAACCCAAATATGGTGTGGTTTACAAATTACTGCTATTAAAACCAATTATATAATCAACTATAATTATATTTCAGGATACATGCGGTTTATAAATTGCATTCGATGAGTTAATATACTATTAGTTCCAGGAAACGCTGCTGATTAAACTTTAATCATTAAACACATAAACAGTATTTTACATGTTGTTTATTAAATTATAGTAAACCTATTATGGTTTCAACCAAAGGTCGTCCAAGGATTATTACAGGATGTCACATAAATATCGTCGGTCCAGCAAGTGGACGCTTGATGATAATGTTAGTACGAGAGCCCACGACCAAAATTTTTGTCTCATAGCAATACGGCCAAAACCGCATCAAATCGATAGATACGATTATCCTGAACTCGAAAAAACCAATATCAGACATTTTCCGCGTAGCGTTTGATCTGACCGAATTGTCAAAGAATTTTACCGAACTGCATCATAGCAATATGTCTGATTTGCAGACTGTAGTTGAATGATAGTTCTGAGATACCGGAAACATATTTTTCAGACGTTAGTGGTGTAGCGCAAACCCGTAAAGGTATACAGGTCGGCTAAATTTGTTGACATTTTCAAAAATTCGCTCAGGCTATATGCTACGCGCAAAATGTCTGAAAACAAACTTTTTCGTAATACAATTATAAAATCTATGTACATTTTCACTATCAGACGTATTGCTATAATACCGACTGTCTTTTGTCGCAGAAATGGCCTCCCACGCAGTTGCTACACTTTCGACCGTTACTACACACCTAGTCGGGTTCAGAATCATACAATCTAACGATTTTATAGGGTTTTTGCCGTATTGCTATGAGACATGGTTTTGGTCGTGGGCTCTCGTACTATGTGAAGAAATTAATAATTTGGTTATGTCATTGCTTGAGAAACTTAAATATTGCTTCAGTTATTTAATTATCCTCAAAACATGACATGTTACATTGTAATGATGTAAGTCTACACATAAAACATACACTACAAATTAAAGCCCAGATAGCGGTAGTGTTGTAATTAAAAATACTGAGTAAGTACCTGTAAAAAGTGTAGAATTAATAAACTCCAGAACTCCAAACAAAACTTTGGCGAAACTAAAAAGAATCCAACATTACTCGCGCTTTTGCTAACTACTTACTCGTACATTGAAAAAGAAAAAGGAAAATGAAACTAAAAGCTAAAAAATACAGAGCAGTTAGCGTACCAGTTCATAAAATGTATCGAACTTTTACGAATTGAACGATATTTTGTTTACTTCCTTTGTAACGAAATTTAAAACGTTCTTCAAATAAGCATTGCATAGCCGGATGTGATTTTCAAATACAGTAGAGTGGCTGTTGTTGAGCTTCTTATTTTATTACCATTTGTATTTTTCTCAATAATATTCTGTCCCAGACGATTAGAAGGCTACGTTCACCATGCTCAAACAAAACGAACCCAAGGTTAAGATTAACATTATCAAGATACCTACATCTTGTATATACAGTGTGTCCGGGCTTGTAGTGATCAAACTTTAAGGGCGTAATCTATGGACAATTTTATCGATGAAAATACTTCAAATTTGGGGCTTGACCCATTTCTCGCAAAATTACGAGGATTTAAGTTTTTAATTTTTAGTTTTCACCTCTTCCTTCAAAAACAAGTGAAAGCGTGGGTAGCTTCACACTAATAAGCAAAAATTTTATATCATGCGATAGCCAATAAAATTATCTATTAGCAGAAGTAGAAAACAGATACAAGTTTCATACATTTTAAGGGAGTAAGAATGGATTTAATTAGAAAAAAACATGACTTTTTTCACTTCTTTTTCAGTTATTTTCCAACACAAGAAAAACCAGGTCGTTAAGGTATGTTTTATTTGCATTGTATTATTAGTATTTGAGCTATTCTACAAAACGAATGTAAATTTATTAGTCTATGTCTATTAGTTTCGACGTAATTGTTGAACAAAGATACCCCTTCCCAGCGGTTTCCATAGTAATCGGAATAGGTTGTGTGATTCTTTCAGGCAGTGCATTTTCGCATGTCGCGTGCGCTATGGAAACCGCTGGGAAGGGGTATCTTTGTTCAACAATTACGTCGAAACTAATAGACATAGACTAATAAATTTACATTCGTTTTGTAGAATAGCTCAAATACTAATAATACAATGCAAATAAAACATACCTTAACGACCTGGTTTTTCTTGTGTTGGAAAATAACTGAAAAAGAAGTGAAAAAAGTCATGTTTTTTTCTAATTAAATCCATTCTCACTCCCTTAAAATGTATGAAACTTGTATCTGTTTTCTACTTCTGCTAATAGATAACTTTATTGGCTATCGCATGATATAAAATTTTTGCTTATTAGTGTTAAGCTACCCACGCTTTCACTTGTTTTTGAAGGAAGAGGTGAAAACTAAAAATTAAAAACTTAAATCCTCGTAATTTTGCGAGAAACGGGTCAAGCCCCAAATTTGAAGTATTTTCATCGATAAAATTGTCCATAGATTGCGCCCTTAAAGTTTGATCACTACAAGCCCGGACACACTGTATAAAAGAAAGTACATTATCAAGATACCTACATCTTGTATATATAGTTACTCCACTTATAACTCAAGAACGGATGAACCGATTTAGCTGAAAATTGTCAGGGTGGTAGTTTAGAGCCAGGAGAAGGACATAGGATACTTTTTATCCCGTTCGAAATTAAAAAAAAGTCTGCTTATTTATTGCCATTAATGGGGAACAAAGTTTGCCGGGTCAGCTAGTTGATAATAAAGTAACGGATAACAAAGGATCCAAAACAAAGCGTATCATAAGAATAACTATTTTGAAAAAAAAATACAAAATGTGGTAAGATTAATAAATATTAAAAAAATCTTAAAATTACTGCAACTTGTCATCGTGTCCACTTTTTAAAGTACTATTTTTATTTCTTAACATTTTAAGTTATTCCAATGGGCAAGACATTAAAATGTTAACGTAAATTTCTGAGTTCACAAAAATGTCAAGAACTTGGAAACAACGCCCCGTCTTACGCCCCGCTCTGAGACCCGCTAACGTATGAACGCGCCTTTACCTATTCACGATACAACTCAACATTTTCGCTGCAAATGCTGGAGCTACTTATGTCCCTCTCACGATGATACACAATAGAGATGCATACAAATAAAAATCAAGTGCGAGTCGATCTGTTATCTAATCCGGACTTTCTATTCATATTTGATTTCCTTTTCATCGGAAAAATATTTTAGTACCTCTGCAAATGTAAGTTTATAAGCTTACCGTTGATTCTTGCTACCCTAATAGTAATTGATTTCATTTACCTAATTACCTAAATTGCTTGTTGTTTACAGCTCTATAATATGATTGCTTTGACTTTTTGTTAGATTTGCGAGCGGAACTTAAAAAAATCAAGTTATCGTATTGAAAACTGATCGGAAAAACATGAGGACCTGCATTTTTAATTATAACAAGTAAATACTCGTAAAGACAAACAGACTGGCTTAGGGAGGAGGAGCTTACCTGGAGGTATTTTGAAAACAATAATAATCGATTTCAAAATATAGGTTTTGCGGTCGACTTGAATTAATCGGGATCTGGGGTCTATTTCTTCTTCCCAGAAAATTCACAGTCCCCCAGGCGTAGCACGTTTAAAGTCTAGCAAAATTTTTCAATTACTATCCAGATCGTAAAACACACAAGCTGTTTAAATGAACCTGAGGGGACTGACCTACATTTAGTACTTTATCAGATTTTCAATTTATCTGAGTATTTTACACTCATTTTGACATTTGAGTTTACAAAACTCCAAGCTAAATCTATGTTAACTTTATTAACGTAGCGGTCGACGGACGGGACGCATTCCGGGGTACTTACGAACAAGTGGGGTCTTTTACCGTTTTACGATAGACGCTTCTGTAGCTTTAATCCACGCTGTCAAAAAAGCATTTTGAACCGCGTTCGACGCTCATGACTATAAAACGACTCGTACGGATACATCAAAACATCACTGCAGGAGCACGACCCTCCTTAATTTAGAAAAAGCAAATGGAGAAATTTTCTACACTCCCCACGCTGGCCAGACGAGTCGGACGGCATCTGTTCACAGCTTAGTCCTTTTATAGGCTATCCAAACACTTTTTTTTGTAGACACAACACACCAAGTTGATGTGTGTGGTAGCGGCTATCGGCAGTGAAATAATTGGTTAACGTTTCTGTTTGTATATCGTCTTTTCTTTATCGACTTTTTAATCGGGGACGAGTGTGCCACGTGGATGTAAGTGGACACAAAAAATGTACGTTTTGCGCAGCACAGCGTCTACCTAAGTATCAAGCTAGTATTTAATATTTTTAAGAAAGTCTTTGAGGATTTATTCAACAAACCCATCATAATAGTAGATTGGACATTTTGGGAATTTGACGTTTCGAGAATTGGACATTTTAGGATTTGGAGGTTTCGAGATTTGGACATTTTGAAACTTTTTAATATACTTGACTTAAGGTCCTATGTCCCCTAGATGGGGTAGAGGGCGTCCACAACAGTCCTTCATCGCGTTCGATCTTTTGCTTTGAGTTTAATCTCGCTCCAAGTCTTGTCGATTTTCTTCACCTTGTCTGCTACAGTGCGCCGCCAAGTTTGCTTGGGGCAACCACGTTTACGTTTTCCTTGGGGGTTCCAATCCAGAGCCTAATTTACTAATGTTGTCCTATTGTTCTCAGTGCACGGACTCGCTTGCGCAAGCGCACAAGGAGCTGCAGTTGACTGTCTCTGACGTGGACAAGACCAAGAAGCTGTACTTTGACGAGGAGCACACCGCCCACGATGTCCGCGATAAGGCCAAGGACATTGAGGAAAAGTAAGTGACGATTCTACTCTTTGATATAGATCAATTCGTCCACGAAGACGCGCCCCACCATTATTCCGCTAATATTTGAGTGTTATCGGTACACGCTAAATCACCCTGCACCCCGCGCTTCCCTCGACCAAAACTTGGTTGGGCGCATCTTCGTGGATGAAACGATCTATAAAGTTATATTTCTGAACCTCATGCTAAAGATTAATAAGGTTCTCTGAATATTTGGAAAAGTTTTTCCTTGACACTGTATTTAGGCCGCCGAACTCCGTCACCTCACTCCTTTCTTTACTTTTTCTTAAATTCGCACCTAATGTTATCGATAATTAAAGAAACAACATGCGTATGATTATACACACAATAGAATATCTAATACCAGAATACAAAAAGTTCGGTGTCAACAATAAGGGTGACTCGCGTTCACATCCTACCTACCTGGGTTCTGATCATCGATTTAAGATTTTTTGTTTCTTGTCTAGTCGGCGACTTATTGGTCACTTACGACGCATCCCACACGCGATCTACTCGTTTAGGTTATAAATATTCTATTAAATACATTATTACCCACAAAAAATAAAAGCATAACGTAGGCGCACTGCATTTAACTTGTTCTTAAAAAGCATCAAGACCCGGATCAGGGTAACCATATTCTATTTAGCAGTACATATGGGTAATTTAGATCTTATTTTGTTTTTATACCGAAGTCAAAAATAAATAGGTTTCACGGGTGCACCTGCCTAATGTTAAAACATTTCATCCATCGACTTTGAGTTATAAAACCACATGACAATGGGTCTTAGTGCAATATGACAGTTTCAAAGTAGTCTAGTAACCACAAGCTATCTGCTTGTAGTCGTGCCGTTCAAAGGCTCTCAACACATAATTAATATGTCGTAAAGTCTCCGCAAAGCGATCGTTCATAGTGTCAGATGTTGACGAGAGCATTATCTACGAGTATTATGTAAGAAAGTGCATCTGTGCCAAATATTGGCCCTTTTACTGAGCTTAGAGCACACTCGGTGAGAAAATGTATTTGAATATTCACGTAGTTCTTCTGATAAAATATTTCATGAATTTGCATCCCTTGGGACATTTGATTCGCCGCTGCACTGCAATATTTCCGAACTCGTTTATCACTTACCGCATCCCAAATGCCTCCAACTTGGATATCATCCATCGCTCTTTTAACAATAAACACTGTTTCAAAATTATGTAAATATATTGTAAATAATTTAAAAGAATACAATAGTACGTAAGTTAAAATTTTGTGCAATAAATGTAAGTGTACATAAAGTATATATGATAGGTATTTAAATTTATGTATATATTAAAACAAAAAAAAAAAAAAAAAAAAAAAAAAACAATAAAAGGAAAAACAAAAAAAAATACAATAATATACCTAAAAAAAAACTACTGTAAAATGTTAAGTTCATTTTTAAATTTAAAACCTTTTACATAAAAAAAAAATAAAAAAAAAAGTCTATAAAGTATGGAGACTACAAGTTTGCTCGTAGACATTAGCGAGAAACTACCACCACTTGCTCTAAAAAAAAAAATACATTATTAATTTAATATTCAACAAATTGTCTTGTCTGAAACCGAACTCCGGCAATTTCAGCCGGAGATTAAAAAAAAAAAAAAAAACTAATCTTCTAAAGAGGAATTGAAAGGACCTCACTGTTACAGACTAATACACCTTGTCGCGTCTGTGATTAGACTTAAAAACTTTTCTATAATACTTTGACAAAACTTTCTACAGTATGAAGCATTTTCTTTCCTTGAATGTAAAAATAGTCACTTAGTAAGTACAGCTTTTTTTTTTTGGCAATTTCACACAGCGCCAGCTAGCCCCAAAGTAAGCAACTTAATGCTTGTGTTATGGGTGCTAGCTTAACGGATATACTACTTATACCTATACTTTATTTTTTTATTTTTTTTTAAATACATAAATATTATACATAGTCACACCCAGACCCGTCACAGAAATTAAAATTCATCATTTCAATTTCTGCCCGGCCGGGAATCGAACCCGGGACCTCTCGGCATAGTAGTCCGTTCTGAACCACTACACCAAACGGCCGACAAGCTTTATAATGTGAGAATACTGGCAGATGAATACAAAAGCTTAAGAAACATCGGGGCATGAGTTTGTTGTAGACAACGTCATAATCGGATAGTGTGCACTTGTAAAGTTCTTGCGGGGTACTAAAACAAGTTATGCAGCATACAGCACCTTCACTCTCGAGTTGGTCTGTGAACCGCATCAGTAACTATACCCGATAGAATGCAGCTCAGATTTTCCCTCAATCGACCTCCTCTCAGATTTCAGCTTCCTTTGAACTCCCAGTTGGCGTTAATTCCAGGAATTGATTCGCGGTGGGAGCATAGTATAACAAGGAATAGTAAAACAGGTTTAAAAACTTGCGTCCCGATTGTGTTCATACACTATTTAGAAGCACATTTACGGATTAGGGGGCGTCCATAAATTACGTGAGGCTTTTAGGGGGGGGGAGGGGGTCAACAAAAACCTCACCAAATCTCACGTGGGGGAGAGGGGGGGTCTCGGGAAATATCACGTATTTTTTTCCATAAGAAATAGAGAAATAGAGTTTGCCAGAAAACTGGGTTAAATCTTAAGTAAAAAAATTGGCCAAGTGCGTGTCGTGCCACGCGCAGTGTAGGTTTCCATAGTTGTCCGTCGTTATCACAATATATTTCAGAAGTAAGCAATTACTTCATCTAAAGTCACTTTTAATATTTTCTTCTAAGAAATTTTTATTAGGTATGAAATTTTATAATACATGAGTAAAACGACTATTAGTCTTGAACTAACTGATCTATCTTAACCGCTATAGTTTTCCTTGAAAGTTCATAAAAAGCACTGTAATCTTGAATTTTTCCANTTATTTTTAATATCACGTGAGATTTGGGGGTGGGGGAGGGGGTCAGGCAAAATCTCACCAAATCTCACCAAGGGGGGCGGGGGGGTTGAAAAATAGCCAAAATTGTCTCACGTAATTTATGGACGCCCCCTTAACTATTGCAAACACTACTCACACAAACATTTTTATGCATGATCATATTTGTTAGTGAGTTTTCTGTATTTATTAAAAAATATCTTCTTAAATATGTCGTCGTGTAGTGGAACCTTTAATAGTAACGAATTTCAGCTTCGAATATTTTGAGATACTATTTTTATTTTTATTCAAATCTAACAATATTCTATACATACTCGTATAACAACAAAACTTGAATCTTGGTATTTGAATACATCGGCATCTCCCTTAGCTAGGCGCAGACCACCAATTTTTGTCGGCCCTTAGTTTAGTCGGGCAGTTAATCAGTATGGAGATGTATGAAAATGCGCACATTACACCGATTTGGTATCAGCCGATTCTTACTACAAATTAAAATCGTACCAAACTATCGGCGAATATAAGTCGGTGGTCTACGCCTAGGCTTAATACAAATTATTCACTAGTTTAAATTGACATTATATTCATCGAGCTTTTAACTTTTTCGGTACAGGTATAATTTGAAATAACCGAAACGGAAAATCAGTCTCGATTATGCATTTATTCTATTAGTCATACTACTATAGCCTTTCTCTTTTTACTGTGGCCTTGTATCGTGAGGTGTCTAGCACTTGACACTGAAACGTTTCAGAAGAAATCGAGACTCACTCGATTACGACTTGAGGATTTAATCGAGTTTAGGACTTCAGTGCTTAGTACGTTTCAAGTATTATATTGCACCACGCTTTGCTCTTGGATTATCTGCCGGTTTCGTTTAGAGCTTGTACAGCATTATGTTATTATATTATGCGCAATTAAATAGTCTCTCCAGAAGACCTTCACAAGATCGTCGGTCCACCTAGTGGGAGACCTGCACACACACGTCTTCTGGCTCGATGCCGATTCCAGCTGGATGCAGGCAGCATAGGAGCCGTCATTGTAGAAATCTATAGGAGATGCCCTTTTATCCTTGAAAATAGAAAACAACGTCGCTCCATTTGTCTGTACGCAAATCTTTTAACTATGCAGCGGATTCTGAATGCAACTTTCATCAATGAACAAAATAATTCAAGAGGAAGGCTTAGATGTACATAATTCGTTAAGGTTGTATGTAAATTGGTGTCATAATCACATGTATATTAAAACCAAACTACGATGTATGTAGATCTAGTAGAGACTTGGACGACGTCCAAGAGTAGAGACAAAAGATCGTGTTAAATAATATACACTCAACATCAAATAAACCGCACCTTCCGCGACGCGAACTTTAAAGATTTTCTTCTGACACAATCATAGTGCCCCAACGATATTGGTGTTATTTGAAAGCCCAATAAATATTCTTAAAGAAAAACACATTTAATTTCTAAATAAATGATTAACATATACCATAAATGTGTCTTGAAAAAACACCTCACTTTGGGGTCACCTCTGGGATCAATTACACAAATTTTTATGGTTATAAAACCAAATAATGATCTCACGTGTCCTGTTTAACAGATGGATAGCGATTATTCCCAACTTAACAGTTTTATAGCCATAAAAGTTGGCTCAAGCGTAACTACCTATTTTTTTAAGAAGTGACTCTGGAATTCTGGATCCTTCTAAAGACACATTTTTGGGGTAAAAACCTTTCCTTAAATGAAATGAAGTTTAGAACTAGGCTTTTAAATGGTGCCAATATTGGTGGGAAGTGGGGATGCATACGTTTGAAAGTGCTTGTAGCGGGAGGTGCGATTTATTTGATGTCGAGTGTAGTAAAAAATCCCACAAGGGACTCGTGCTAAATATTATTAAAGCGTTGATTGCATTATTCAAAGGCAGAAATTTTCTTCTGACGGCCGCAGCTGCTTTTATCTTGGAAATGCCAATGCAATGCTAAAAACAACTGCAGAGGATTAACGAGAAATTTACATTTCATTAATTTAATAAAAGCTTGGCTTCGGATGGTGGCATTTGTTCAATTGAAAAAACGGAAAATGGATTTCGAAA